TTTGTCATGCCCTAGCCTATCTACCATAAGAATATTAGCGAAATCGAATTTTCGACCCTTGCCGCGAAATTAAGAATTTGTCTGACTTTTACAGGCAGGCACTCTTAAGAAGGAATCCGCCAGAAGTTCGAGTATTTAGTGGACAAAAACTTTGTACCGACATTGTTTAACTTGTATTGCAAATTTCTATGCGACTGTTTTAACTTTCTTCTTAAAAGAAATCATTTCTAACAACACCAAATGTTGAAAACAAATGTTGAAGCTCATATGAAACATATGAAGATACTGGTGGAATGAAGCTGATGATGGAATTTTACCTGCGTTTGTCAATTTTTCTGCACCGGGAAATTGTTTTTGGAGTTATTTCAGGCAAATATTTATATCTTTAGCTTTTAGAAAATGCAAAAAGGACTGTAATATACGTAGAATTTTTCTGGTGCAAGGTTTTTGTCCACTGAAAGTTGAAATTGCTCGATTTCCTATCGGATTTCCTCTTAATGATTCAGGGGACTATCATAGCAGTGCGTCATGAAGTTCAAACAGTTGAAGATATCTGATTTACTTTCCTGCCAACCAACAACATGATTTAGATGTGAATAGCCTACTCATGTGGCAGCAACTAAACATAGATTTAAAGTGGAACAAGGAATCAATCTTGCGAATTTCCGTCTTATATTTCGTCAAAAGAGCTTAGTCGTACCGATTTTATGCAATGTTTTTTGCTCCCCGAAAGTAACGACCACTCGAAAGTAACGACCTCTCAAAAGTAACGTGCCCAAAAGCCGCTAATTCCAAAAGTAACGATCCTCGTTACTTTGGGAAGTTTACGGTAGTTTGAAATGTCACGTCAGCGACTTACAAAACAATAGAGGTTTCAATAAATAGTAATATAACAAAAAAAATTAAAAGGTTGAGCGACAGATCTTGACAACGATGCAGTCAGATAACAGCACGTCTCATTTGTTTTTGAAAAATTATTTAAGCATAACAGCACTTTTATTTTTACCGTGTTTAGATAGCCTCATCTAAACACTAGGAGAAATGGGAGAATTCGAAACAGTTATGCAAACCCCAGACTTTGTCGCTGGTTTGCATAAGTTTTGAGAATTCTCCCAGCCCCCCGAGTGTTTAGATGAGACTATGTAAGAGTGAAAAAAGCTCTATTGCTTTTATAAAATAATTCTCAAAAATACGCGCGAATCTGAAACGTCACAACCGTGTTTACATACTCTGATCTAAACACACCTATCGACCAATGAGAGCGCGCGCAGTAACTCAGTTCTTTTACAAAATGTAATAAATATAAACTAAATATAAACTAAAAACTGCTCCCATTGTCTGGAACATGACACTGATACTAAACTGTTCCGAGATATCCTTTTGGAAAAGTCACCATATATGGAGTTCAGAGCTTTTATAGATGCAAGCGTTTAGAATTGTCTTGGGCCTCTAAAGCAACCCCCTTAACCCCCCACCACATCAAATCACCCTAACCACCCTCTCAGAGATCCTGGCGCCCCCCTGACACTACTATGAACGGCACTTCGCCCAATTCTTAGTTTCAAATCGCCTTTCTCCAGAAGATAGAAAGAACACGCGCAAACTTAACAGATATGGCCTGGTCACTACGCAAGTGTTTCCGACGCTGTCTTCACGCAATATTATGGCTTTTTCGTCTGTGGGTGGTCTTGTTTTATTCTTTAGGATTAAATGCGCTCGCACAGCATGGGCGCTGTCCAACTGAAATTCATGAAGCCATTGAAGGTACAAAACTCCTAAAACTAAGTTCTAATCACGAACTAGATCAGATAAGTGTTTATAGCTATTATCACTAGAAGCTTATAACCTAAAGAAAGCAAGTTAATCCTTGAAATCAGAGATTGATCTAATGAAATCTTCCTTAGGAAAGGCAAGACACCCCGTTTTGACGTAGAATCACTAATAGATTTTTAGTTTCACCTTGATCTATACACCTCCATATGTGCGAATGCATGCAAGAAACGGGTTGCATGGTCTAGCTGTTCCTTTGCGGTTGGACATGTAATGTTTATTTTTGTGTGGATCGGAATTTCATTTCAATACATGATTACAATAGTCTCACGACTGAACTTCTACATCGATACAGCCTGTTATAATACCTTGTAACATGTAGTCATAAGCACAACTGACGCATAGTGTCTCGATCCAACGATTTGTCGTTTATTTCTCTCGTCATTTGATGCTTCTGGTCTTATCATGTTGCGAACACGAATTAAAAGAAAATTTGAAATCAATTTCTTCGAGGTCTCAAGTCAGTAAAATTTGTAACTGAAATTTAAACCTGTCTCTCACAGATATGGAGCTGGGATATCCCGTTCCATGTTCCGAGGACCTTAACTGGCGTATTCCAACACAAAATGATGACAGAACCGATGCAGAAGGTAGCTTCATTTCAATGTTTCTACTTGTTGTCATATTAAGCCCATATCTGACTCAGTCGCAACAAAATAGATACGTTTCTGTGGTCCTCAGGCCATGGTTGATTTGTCGAAGTTCTAAAGCAAGAAGCTTAACCTACAGTACATTGTGCGCTGCCGATACATAAGGGTATAATGGAGCAGTGGTGGTAAAGATCTGTCTTTAAGCATTGCACATTACAGCTCTAGAGACAGCCACAAAGGAAAATCAGTCTAAGTTAGAGAGTGTATTAGGTCTGGAATCATTTGCACGTGTTGACTTAACAGTGAAAACACGATGAATATACAAATAATCATACTATAACTGCTTCCTGCTATCGTTTATTGCAACGAACGGTTATGAGACACATATTGAAGATACACCTAAAGTTTAGAATGATGAGACTGACCCTTTAATAAAAAAGTACCATGTAAAAATTTGATATTATTCTTCGACTAACACATCTTTATGGCCTATGTTGTGTTGTGCGACTGCATGGTTATGCAAGAAGTACATCTCATAAACTTAGGTATATTTTTCCAACTTATTTCACCATTACTAAGTAAAGAGATACTCAAAATGAGCAAATGAAATTATGTCTCACTATTTGCAGTTGAGGCAGTATAACGCCCATAATCGACGGGAGAGGAATCATCAAAATATAAAAGTATATAAAAAAGAAAAATATTCATCTGAGGGATTCAAGTAGTGAAATCATTATGCAAAACAACTTCAAGATCGCTGTTGCTATTTACAATCATCGGTTCCTTACTTTCCACGAAGATTCTCTAGATATATATCATTTGAAAGGAATTATAGTGTTGTACGGGCGTTTTATTTTACCAGCTGTGCTAATCTTGCTGAATTTTGGAAATAGGTTTCCGCAGTGTCGGTTGGTTGTTGTGTTATGAGATCAAGTTCTATATAAGTAACTTTGGAGTTAAAACCTGTTGTTCGAGTAGAAGGAAATATCTTGAATCAGCTGGAGTGTAAAGAGTCACTGTACAGCCACTCTTATGTGTTTTCGAGTTTTATAGTTGATGATTTCTTCGATCTGTTTGAGCTTGTTGTAAGGTGAATTCATATGCAAAGTGAAGAAAGAACTAACCATGAGTTTCGATGAAAACAAACCAAACTCACTCGTTTCGTCCAGTCGCTATTTGATAATGCTCGTTAACTCACGACTCTGACTAACAGAAAAAAATAACAAACTACCGTCATTGCTAGGTTAAAATATTTGAAACCAAAAGCAGACTGATGACACTCTTGAGTTCCACTGGAATCTTTTTATGAACCACTCGCTAATTCTAGTATTACTACTGCGCGCCACATGGCTTGCTTGCAAGAACTCGGAACTCGTCGATTTCTCATTTTAAGAAATGAATTTTTATTGAAGAACAAGTAACTTTAGTTGTATTATTAAAGAACATTTTCCATTCTTAATACTCATCAGATAAGGCACGCCGCCCCTGAAACACGAAGTGAAAATCCAAGTATTTAAAAATGATTTACAACGTTTGAAATCAAAGATGTCCGCTACTAGATCTACTATACTTGTAAACAAACTGCGTATATACGCCCGTAACGTGACATATTTAAAACATATTAGGTCCACAATCGAGTTTTCTTCTGCACGAAATGTTTACTATCATCATGCATGAAAGTTAAGCATTTTCTGTTGAAGTTACATGTTCTGTCTCGCTGATTAAAAAGCCCGGGCTGTACCGGCTCGAACATTCAATTTAAGTAATTCACTCGCTGTAGCTTGCATGGTTTCTTTTCAAGTCAAGTAGATTCCTCTGGATTCTTAGTCTTTGTTGTTAATAACCGGTGAATAACATTCTTTAAAGTTCACAATTTAAATGTATTTTTATCTATATTGTTTCTCACAGAGCTGCACTATCCCTTGCGGTTTACAGATCAAGGCGACTAACTTGCACAGCACTGACACAAAAGGAGAGACGTTTCACAGAGCCTGAGGAGAAAACAAGTTTGAAATAAATCACACTTTTGTTCATGGATATTTACACGGATGCTCAGTAAGAAGATAAACTGAACAGACTAGACTGGCTGAATACAGCTGTCCATTTTCAAACAATCGATGATATTTTAACAATGTTTATTTCTAGCCAAGGGCTTCGATATAACCTCATTCGACATGCTTGTCTTGTAATAAAGGTACTGACAACGTATTTGAGCTCGAAAAAAGCTGTAATTTATTACGATTTATAAACATCTTCCCTTCTGGAGTATCAATACTTTGGAGGTCAGTTTATTTCTTCTCTTTAATTCGACAGAGAATTTAAAACTCCTAAATTATTTTGTTTTTGTTCTGTAAACAGAACGAAAGCGAAAACGAAAGAAAAAGCAGATGAATTTTCAATTGATTTTGTTCCCTGTTCCCTGTGATGAAATTATTCTCTTTCTTTTGGTAAATTAAAGTGGATGTGGACTCCAGATTTTACTCGGGTTAGGGCATTGCAGATGGCGAGCGTTTAAAAGTGCAGTCACATTCAAAAATATTAAATATGCACAGACTTCACGTTGCTTGAGTATGACATAACAACAAGAGGTTAGATTAGATGGAACTTTTAAGCGGTTATGTTTTCCAATATATTCAATGTTAAAAGCTACAAAGCTGAACCCGTGTAATACAGCAAATTGAATTGGAAGATTGCGTTTAGAACAAGCACGATTTTTGTTTACATGCTTGTAAAAACCGTATTCCGTTTTCAAAATGCCGGACTGGTTCAAACTGATACGCAGCGGAAACATGGACAAAGTGTAAAGAAAAAAAAAACATCGACGCTAGATCTAACTTCATTTAAAAGTCCACGCTTTAGGGAAATTAAAAGAAATATTAAAACGGTTGCAAACTGATTCAGGAAAGAAAGAGGAAAACCTTTGTCGACGAAAGTATTTGCATTAAGCCCATCAGCGTCGAAAGATGGTCGATAAATTATTCAAACAGTGATAAATCTACTTACGTTAAAATTCCTTTCCACTATCGTTGTTGAATGCACTGGTTCTATTTCAGATACCTCTTTCTTCACAACATAATGGATATCTCTCGAACTCTCAAGTTCAATCCGAGTTCTTAGGTCGTTGTAATGAGGTTAAACTTCGAGTGTTCCTTCTGCTTGAAATTCAAATTAATTGTGGAAATACAAGCCATCCATCCTGTGAACAAATTTATTAGACCTTTCCTCGAAATATAGATCAAGGGAAAGAAAACAGAACGAACTCGTTGCCATTTAAAATTTTTTAGTAACATACGTTCACGAACATCTGAACATTAGAGCAACAGAAGTGATTTATTTGTATTCTTATATTGCCTTGCTCCTTGGGAGACTCAAGCTCCAACTGTGAACCACGAGGTACTGTCTGAAGTTAAAGATGCATAATGAATGTTGTAGAAGGGAAGGGGAGGAAAAAAAACACGAGATCAAATGTTGCTCTCTGAGACTAAAAGCTATTCACTGAAACATCCTCGCATGCCTTATTTCGGTTGTAAGATGCTTTATTTTGCCGTCACGAAATTTGTCCTTAATGCTTTTCAGACTGGGCCTTTACAGACAAACGAATTGTTTCACTTTCAAAACCATGTTGTCATAGCCAGCTGAACGTAGTGCCATCTGAACACAGCTCAGAAATTCAAGCGCGATTTTTAAACCTACAATTGTTTAACTTCATCTTCCCCGCGAGAAACGTGGGAAATGCGGAAAACCTAATTCAAAATTGCAACGGAATGTAAAAGCAGTACTAATTGAATTCTGTCGAAAGAGAAAGGATTTTACTCAGAAGTTCATGTCAAATCGCGCTTGCTATGGCAGGGTCAAATGAAGTGGAGAAACAGCCGACGTATTGGAGTTTAGGCGGAGGATGAATCAACTGCTTTTGAGAATTTCAGCAAATTCTGAATACGCCGGCTAATCGTTATTGTCGGGGAACATAACGACCATAACGAATTGGGCTCAGGAAAGGTGGAGAGAAGTGGGATTTATATATGAATTATGTATTTTACCGTGTAAACTGAGGGTGACATTTTGTTAAACTTTTCATTAACGTTTGGAGAAATTTCCTTAGTCGGTCAGAATCAATCACCTAAAATTGAAATTAGTTTTGAATAACCCGAGGGCAGCATGAAATTTAGCCTATCCTATTCACTTCAGTAAGCAAGTGGACGTTCTTTAGGACGGTGCCTACTAAATACAAAGGTCTTCAGGCGCAATTAGGACCATATGGAACAAGTAGATCTTAGCAAGGGGCTATTGGAATCCCAATAAAATGGGGGATAGCCACCCATTTTCCCAATATAATTAGCCTCGAGTCTCGAAAAAACTGCTGACGTCAGTATTTTTCTAAAAAAAAAGAAGGAAAAGATATTTTTTAAAACACAGATTTCCTTAGAATTCGACTTAACACATGGAAATGCAAACATGTCTATAAAGATCTTTAAACCACATGGTAAATGGTAACACAAAAACCACTTCTGTTATTTTATTAGTAATGGTGTAAGTAATAGTAATTGGACCGAGTGGATTATAATAGATCAATTTCGATGTATCAAAATTCAGCCATAAACAATAGACCTCAGCACGAGGTACTGGCTACAAAGTTGGTGGGGTTTTTCCCCCACAGCCTCGTGCTGAGGTCTATTGTTTTAGGCTGAATTTTAGTATATCGAAATTGGTCTTTTCAGAGAGTAATCGGGCGAGTAATTTCAAAATCGGACGAGGCCGATTTGAAACTATGAGCACTATTACCGCCTAAATTGTACGACACGAGGTTCAATTACTAATTAATCGTATTTACAACAAATTTCGAAATTAAAAACAGTGTTTTGAGAACTTCCCTTGACCGAAAACGTGAGTAGCACCTTCCATAGCTGTAGGAAATATTAAAAGAAAAGCCATTAAAGTGCGCGTAATTGACGTGCGAATCACGTGGTATTCAATTACAGGTATTCAATTACAACTTGTGAAATGTGGATACCTGTAATTGGACACCAACGTGACCAGGCGCCGATTACGTGACTAATTATAACAATTACAATTTCCTCAAATGTGATTGGTGCACACATTGCTGTATTTTGCTTTAATTAATCTGAAAAGTTGTAATCGGACAGTGTAATCGGACAGTTGGCTGTAATCGGACACCTGTAATCGGACAGTTGCATGAGCCAATCATTTTAAGTTCTGCCCACTAAATCCACCAATCACAACATTGATTACAATCACTATAGTAAGTACATGTACATGTACGCTAGTACTTCGAATCTCCCCGCTAGCCTTTCGACTTGGTTTTATAGAATATAGACAACTTAGGGAGATTGTGCGACGGACATTTCAGAAGAAATCTCCATTCTTGCTCGCTTTCCACTCATGTTTCCTGTGACTCCTTCTCAATCTTTCACTTGGTGTAGATCAAACTGAAATGTCCACATCATCCAACCAATTAGAAAACAACAAACACAACAAATAAAATAAAATAACAAAACAGTTATCCCATTCACCCTTATTTTATTTTAGATGATTGTTAACAAACTCAGCAGTACGCATCTCGTGCAGTCTCCTTTGTCATTCATCACTGCATCGGAAAAGGACTCATATCATTTTTTAGGCATTAACATTTTGGGTGCTTGCCCAGAGAGCATTGCCTAGTATATTTTAGTTTCGGGATTGCATTTGCATGCTCGCAACTACTCCTGGCTATTTACAATAGCCACTGCACATAGCTGAATGATCTCAAACACTTGTGTCCAGAATAAGTTAGGAGGTGAACCTCTTGGATTGTCTGTCTGTCTGTCTGTCTGTCTGTTTGTCTGTCGGTCTCTCTGTCCTTTCTTCCATCCTCCCAGTTTTCAAAGGCATTTCCTTTACTTTTTTAAGAAAGCAAATTTGTAAAGGGTGACAAGAATGAGGTACTAAGAGCATTTTGTTACTAATAGAAAATCTCTGAAATTACATTTACATTTTTTGTAATCTGCTGCAGTGATATGCATGTGAGAAGTAACTAATGTTCAGACACTCATTCTGCATTACAAATAAGATTTGTATCGTCTTTGACTGTTTGAATGAATAGTTCCCGACTTTATTATTTTGTTCCATATTACCCAGATACAGAAGAAAGAGGAACAAGAGGCTGAAACCACACAAAAGTAACTGACATGACATACATTTACATACATACATTTTACTGTGTTTTAAAATCAAAAGTACAATTGTAACATGCCCGCGGGTGGCTGAGCTAATCTAGGCGGGTGATGTTTACAGGAGTTATCTACAACTAAATACAACTAAATACAACTAAAGGCAACAAGAGAACTAAAGAAACTAAAATTGACAACAATGACATTTGTTAGCTTGCCGGTGCTTACTGCCTATTTGTTGATATTGTTCTGACAAACAGCTGGATCTTAATTAAACAACTCTTTTGCGAACAATCTTCATATGTTTTCAGCAGTAAAGTGGGAAAGAATAAAGCTGTGATCAACGAGCCAGGTACATGTAAAAGGAAACCCACTTGACAAGATAGAACTTATGATGTTAAAAAATGTTGAGATGTTAGATAAATTTGTAGCTGAAAAACATGTACATTGAAAGATGTGTTCATAGACCATACCATTAATAAAATGTTAGTCTTGAAGGTTCAGATAAGCAAATCAACAATTGGGTAGTATGAATGATAAACAAACAAATGGGTAGCAGCTCTATCAGAATCTTTTATTGTTAAGCATGATCGGTTACACTTGGTTACAGAAGATAATCAGTCCGGAATATCCCGATAAATTAGGACAGTCATGACGTCAAGAAGCTATTGTTAGCAGGGAAAATGGCGGGCCTTTTATGCGGACGAAGAAAATATGTTGTTTCCAGTCTCGCATAGAGTCTGGCCAGCATTATCCAGGACTTTTTCCGACCAAACGTTGAGAAGGAGAATAAGTGGCCATTTTGGTAGTGGGAGGACGTTGACTGTCCTCTAATCATTGAGTTTTTTTNGTGACATATTTAAATCATATTAGGTCCACAATCGAGGTTTCTTCTGCACGGAATGTTTTATTTTCATCAGGCATGAAAGTTAAGCATTTTCAGTTGAAGTTACATGTACTGTCTCGCTGATTAAAAAGCCCGGCCTGTACCGGCTCGAACATTCAATTTAAGCAATTCACTCGCTGTTGCTTGCATGGTTTCTTTTCAAGTCAAGTAGATTCCTCATATTTCTTAGTCTTTGTTATCAATAACTAGCGAATAACATTCTTTAAAGTTCACAATTTAAATGTATTTTTATCTATATTGTTTCTCACAGAGCTGCACTATCCCTTGCGGTTTACAGATCAAGGCGACTAACTTGCGTAGTACCATCACATTAAAAGGAGACGCGTTTCACAGAGCCTGAGGAGAAAACAAGTTTGAAATAAATCACACTTTTGTTCATGGATATTTACACGGATGCTCAGTAAGAAGATAAACTGAACAGACTAGACTGGCTGAATACAGCTGTCCATTTTCAAACAATCGATGATATTTTAACAATGTTTATTTCTAGCCAAGGGCTTCGATATAACCTCATTCGACATGCTTGTCTTGTAATAAAGGTACTGACAACGTATTTGAGCTCGAAAAAAGCTGTAATTTATTACGATTTATAAACATCTTCCCTTCTGGAGTATCAATACTTTGGAGGTCAGTTTATTTCTTCTCTTTAATTCGACAGAGAATTTAAAACTCCTAAATTATTTTGTTTTTGTTCTGTAAACAGAACGAAAGCGAAAACGAAAGAAAAAGCAGATGAATTTTCAATTGATTTTGTTCCCTGTTCCCTGTGATGAAATTATTCTCTTTCTTTTGGTAAATTAAAGTGGATGTGGACTCCAGATTTTACTCGGGTTAGGGCATTGCAGATGGCGAGCGTTTAAAAGTGCAGTCACATTCAAAAATATTAAATATGCACAGACTTCACGTTGCTTGAGTATGACATAACAACAAGAGGTTAGATTAGATGGAACTTTTAAGCGGTTATGTTTTCCAATATATTCAATGTTAAAAGCTACAAAGCTGAACCCGTGTAATACAGCAAATTGAATTGGAAGATTGCGTTTAGAACAAGCACGATTTTTGTTTACATGCTTGTAAAAACCGTATTCCGTTTTCAAAATGCCGGACTGGTTCAAACTGATACGCAGCGGAAACATGGACAAAGTGTAAAGAAAAAAAAAACATCGACGCTAGATCTAACTTCATTTAAAAGTCCACGCTTTAGGGAAATTAAAAGAAATATTAAAACGGTTGCAAACTGATTCAGGAAAGAAAGAGGAAAACCTTTGTCGACGAAAGTATTTGCATTAAGCCCATCAGCGTCGAAAGATGGTCGATAAATTATTCAAACAGTGATAAATCTACTTACGTTAAAATTCCTTTCCACTATCGTTGTTGAATGCACTGGTTCTATTTCAGATACCTCTTTCTTCACAACATAATGGATATCTCTCGAACTCTCAAGTTCAATCCGAGTTCTTAGGTCGTTGTAATGAGGTTAAACTTCGAGTGTTCCTTCTGCTTGAAATTCAAATTAATTGTGGAAATACAAGCCATCCATCCTGTGAACAAATTTATTAGACCTTTCCTCGAAATATAGATCAAGGGAAAGAAAACAGAACGAACTCGTTGCCATTTAAAATTTTTTAGTAACATACGTTCACGAACATCTGAACATTAGAGCAACAGAAGTGATTTATTTGTATTCTTATATTGCCTTGCTCCTTGGGAGACTCAAGCTCCAACTGTGAACCACGAGGTACTGTCTGAAGTTAAAGATGCATAATGAATGTTGTAGAAGGGAAGGGGAGGAAAAAAAACACGAGATCAAATGTTGCTCTCTGAGACTAAAAGCTATTCACTGAAACATCCTCGCATGCCTTATTTCGGTTGTAAGATGCTTTATTTTGCCGTCACGAAATTTGTCCTTAATGCTTTTCAGACTGGGCCTTTACAGACAAACGAATTGTTTCACTTTCAAAACCATGTTGTCATAGCCAGCTGAACGTAGTGCCATCTGAACACAGCTCAGAAATTCAAGCGCGATTTTTAAACCTACAATTGTTTAACTTCATCTTCCCCGCGAGAAACGTGGGAAATGCGGAAAACCTAATTCAAAATTGCAACGGAATGTAAAAGCAGTACTAATTGAATTCTGTCGAAAGAGAAAGGATTTTACTCAGAAGTTCATGTCAAATCGCGCTTGCTATGGCAGGGTCAAATGAAGTGGAGAAACAGCCGACGTATTGGAGTTTAGGCGGAGGATGAATCAACTGCTTTTGAGAATTTCAGCAAATTCTGAATACGCCGGCTAATCGTTATTGTCGGGGAACATAACGACCATAACGAATTGGGCTCAGGAAAGGTGGAGAGAAGTGGGATTTATATATGAATTATGTATTTTACCGTGTAAACTGAGGGTGACATTTTGTTAAACTTTTCATTAACGTTTGGAGAAATTTCCTTAGTCGGTCAGAATCAATCACCTAAAATTGAAATTAGTTTTGAATAACCCGAGGGCAGCATGAAATTTAGCCTATCCTATTCACTTCAGTAAGCAAGTGGACGTTCTTTAGGACGGTGCCTACTAAATACAAAGGTCTTCAGGCGCAATTAGGACCATATGGAACAAGTAGATCTTAGCAAGGGGCTATTGGAATCCCAATAAAATGGGGGATAGCCACCCATTTTCCCAATATAATTAGCCTCGAGTCTCGAAAAAACTGCTGACGTCAGTATTTTTCTAAAAAAAAAGAAGGAAAAGATATTTTTTAAAACACAGATTTCCTTAGAATTCGACTTAACACATGGAAATGCAAACATGTCTATAAAGATCTTTAAACCACATGGTAAATGGTAACACAAAAACCACTTCTGTTATTTTATTAGTAATGGTGTAAGTAATAGTAATTGGACCGAGTGGATTATAATAGATCAATTTCGATGTATCAAAATTCAGCCATAAACAATAGACCTCAGCACGAGGTACTGGCTACAAAGTTGGTGGGGTTTTTCCCCCACAGCCTCGTGCTGAGGTCTATTGTTTTAGGCTGAATTTTAGTATATCGAAATTGGTCTTTTCAGAGAGTAATCGGGCGAGTAATTTCAAAATCGGACGAGGCCGATTTGAAACTATGAGCACTATTACCGCCTAAATTGTACGACACGAGGTTCAATTACTAATTAATCGTATTTACAACAAATTTCGAAATTAAAAACAGTGTTTTGAGAACTTCCCTTGACCGAAAACGTGAGTAGCACCTTCCATAGCTGTAGGAAATATTAAAAGAAAAGCCATTAAAGTGCGCGTAATTGACGTGCGAATCACGTGGTATTCAATTACAGGTATTCAATTACAACTTGTGAAATGTGGATACCTGTAATTGGACACCAACGTGACCAGGCGCCGATTACGTGACTAATTATAACAATTACAATTTCCTCAAATGTGATTGGTGCACACATTGCTGTATTTTGCTTTAATTAATCTGAAAAGTTGTAATCGGACAGTGTAATCGGACAGTTGGCTGTAATCGGACACCTGTAATCGGACAGTTGCATGAGCCAATCATTTTAAGTTCTGCCCACTAAATCCACCAATCACAACATTGATTACAATCACTATAGTAAGTACATGTACATGTACGCTAGTACTTCGAATCTCCCCGCTAGCCTTTCGACTTGGTTTTATAGAATATAGACAACTTAGGGAGATTGTGCGACGGACATTTCAGAAGAAATCTCCATTCTTGCTCGCTTTCCACTCATGTTTCCTGTGACTCCTTCTCAATCTTTCACTTGGTGTAGATCAAACTGAAATGTCCACATCATCCAACCAATTAGAAAACAACAAACACAACAAATAAAATAAAATAACAAAACAGTTATCCCATTCACCCTTATTTTATTTTAGATGATTGTTAACAAACTCAGCAGTACGCATCTCGTGCAGTCTCCTTTGTCATTCATCACTGCATCGGAAAAGGACTCATATCATTTTTTAGGCATTAACATTTTGGGTGCTTGCCCAGAGAGCATTGCCTAGTATATTTTAGTTTCGGGATTGCATTTGCATGCTCGCAACTACTCCTGGCTATTTACAATAGCCACTGCACATAGCTGAATGATCTCAAACACTTGTGTCCAGAATAAGTTAGGAGGTGAACCTCTTGGATTGTCTGTCTGTCTGTCTGTCTGTCTGTTTGTCTGTCGGTCTCTCTGTCCTTTCTTCCATCCTCCCAGTTTTCAAAGGCATTTCCTTTACTTTTTTAAGAAAGCAAATTTGTAAAGGGTGACAAGAATGAGGTACTAAGAGCATTTTGTTACTAATAGAAAATCTCTGAAATTACATTTACATTTTTTGTAATCTGCTGCAGTGATATGCATGTGAGAAGTAACTAATGTTCAGACACTCATTCTGCATTACAAATAAGATTTGTATCGTCTTTGACTGTTTGAATGAATAGTTCCCGACTTTATTATTTTGTTCCATATTACCCAGATACAGAAGAAAGAGGAACAAGAGGCTGAAACCACACAAAAGTAACTGACATGACATACATTTACATACATACATTTTACTGTGTTTTAAAATCAAAAGTACAATTGTAACATGCCCGCGGGTGGCTGAGCTAATCTAGGCGGGTGATGTTTACAGGAGTTATCTACAACTAAATACAACTAAATACAACTAAAGGCAACAAGAGAACTAAAGAAACTAAAATTGACAACAATGACATTTGTTAGCTTGCCGGTGCTTACTGCCTATTTGTTGATATTGTTCTGACAAACAGCTGGATCTTAATTAAACAACTCTTTTGCGAACAATCTTCATATGTTTTCAGCAGTAAAGTGGGAAAGAATAAAGCTGTGATCAACGAGCCAGGTACATGTAAAAGGAAACCCACTTGACAAGATAGAACTTATGATGTTAAAAAATGTTGAGATGTTAGATAAATTTGTAGCTGAAAAACATGTACATTGAAAGATGTGTTCATAGACCATACCATTAATAAAATGTTAGTCTTGAAGGTTCAGATAAGCAAATCAACAATTGGGTAGTATGAATGATAAACAAACAAATGGGTAGCAGCTCTATCAGAATCTTTTATTGTTAAGCATGATCGGTTACACTTGGTTACAGAAGATAATCAGTCCGGAATATCCCGATAAATTAGGACAGTCATGACGTCAAGAAGCTATTGTTAGCAGGGAAAATGGCGGGCCTTTTATGCGGACGAAGAAAATATGTTGTTTCCAGTCTCGCATAGAGTCTGGCCAGCATTATCCAGGACTTTTTCCGACCAAAC